GAAATATATTTATGTTTGTGGTTGTAATGTGACAAAATATGGAAAAGTTCAAGGGGTATGAATACTTTTGCAAACCACTGTATATAGTCCCTCATTTGTGATGCCCTTGGATAAACAAAAATAAACAACACCCTTAGCATTTGCCTATATTGCCTATGCCACAGGCCAGCCTTGCTTGATAATGATATACAGTATTTATGTAGCTAAATAATTAGTAATGTAGTATAGTGTTAATAATTATCAAGGGTTTGAATAAAAACCCAAGTCTCAATCGGCTTTTATAAAACATTCAGAAACAACCTCAAAAAGAGAAATTTACATTTTAAAATGTCTGGTAAATGAAACAGAGTGAGCTGCTTTTTAACTAAACACACCTTCAAGTCCACAGCACACGTTTGGTGAATTTTTATTTTATTTTATGTCCGTACCCTGAATAATGAAGAGTAAAAAATAAGGTGCACAGAGTAATGAAGGCACATAATGGCAACATGATTTTTACTWATTAAAAAAGTACCAATACAGACCTCTTTGATTTCCTAAAAAGAGGTGAGTTCTTACCTTTCAAATGGTTTCCACCAATCGCATACAGGCGGTCATTCATCCCAGCCAGGGCGTGAATGGCGCGCTTTGTGTTCATGTCTTGTTTTCTAGCCCACACATCCATTACCGGGTCGTAGCAGTAGAGCCAGGACACATACTCGCCGTTGTGCACTCCTCCTGCAACACGTCGACGCACAATTATCCCATCATGTCAAAATACAACTAAAGTGCACAACATAGATGCTTCTTTATGACAAACTGGGCTTCAGCAGACAGGTGCACTTTAGTCCTGAAAAATATACTTTCTGTGTAACCCAGGAGTGACCAGGTCAAAAGGTTTTTACAGAATAAATCACTGGACAGAAACAGATTTAAATTATTGAGCCACGTGCACTTACACTTAATCTAATAAGGATGTGTAAATGCAATTTTTTCCTTTCAATTTTAGTTAAATAAGCACACGTAATGGCTGCTTTCTGCTCAAACAGAATGAGGCCACCAGTTTAGTGTCTTTGTTTTTATCTGGTAAGCCTAAATTTCCAAGGGTTACTGGAGTTTGGATGATTCACCGCTACAAAGCTCTGAGAGAGAAGGTTTCAGTTTGTGACCTTCTGCATTCATGCAATGTGGACAATTGAAATGAAAAACACTGAGACCAAATGTGTGATTTCCAATAAACTCYAAGGAGTAGAGTTGTTATGAAAAGTTAATTAGTTTCTCACCCCTCCTAGAAAACTAATATATATATTCCTCTGATGTTTAATGTTGACCCGCACCTGTTATAAGTGCTTTATTTACATTGAGACCAGACTATTTACAATTTTTAGAGGAGTACTACAGCCTGGATGCAAAATTTACTATGTGAAGCCTTCAGTCTCTCCAGAAGGAGCTGCTTGTCAGCGCTGCTTGGGGCTGAAAACAATGTAGCCTGAGGCTGAAAACTACACGTTCAACAATAAAAGCATGTGGGGGTGTGCAGATAAGACAGAAGTGATCCTGCAGCCCATTCATGTTTTACAGGCAAGCAGCTAGACGGGGCCTCTTAAAAAGAATTGTTGGCAGGCACACTGCACCACCTTCTGACAAAAAAAAAAGAACATGTGTTCAAAGATGTTACATCCTTTTATTATAAAATATGTTTTCTTCCATTTCATGTTCTTGCTCATTAATTGTAATTTAGCCAACATAAATCTGTAGTTTGTATGGGCTTTTAAATTTAGCACATGTGTTGCTGAAGTCTTGTTGAAATGAATAATGTGTGTCTGAGTGATGTCCTCATCCCAAACCTGAAATGTAGATCTTGCCGTTGTGCACTGCTCCTGCATGGGCAGCTAAAGGCTGCGGCAGAGGTGACACGTAGTTCCACTCGTTCGTCTCCAGGTTGTAGGACTCCACGCTGGAGAGGTAGCCCGCCTCATTCCTTCCACCAATCACGTACAGGTGCTTATCCAGGCGGCAGGCAAAAAAACTGGCTCTCCTGGGTTAGAGGAGGAGGAGTCAAGCAGACAACATCACTGATCTGGCAAAGGCATCGTTCACTGTTGGTTTTTTGCAAGTTACTAAGCCGAAATTTTTAAAAATTGCGGAATTTTTTTCAAAACAAACAAATAAAAAAATCATAAAAAATAGTGAGCTAGTTAAGTGTTGATAAGCCCAAACACAAGCATAAACATTAAATTAACTTTTGCACATACAGTAATAGTATTTCACAAACTTGTGCAATACCTTGTTTTGGTTCATTTTATAAATGTAGAGTTCTACTCTTTTGCTGGAGTCAGTAGAACAGCGGCTATTTTGATTTGCTGTTTTTTCAACATTTCCAATAAAAGCAAAAATATACACACCTTTCCTGCATTGGTGGCAGCTGAATCCAGCTGTTGAATCTGGGATCATAGCGACTGACAAAATTGGTGCTGTGCTTTCCTGAAAAACAGAATAAAATCAAATGTGATTCAAAAGATTTCGCAATTAAAGCTTTTAGTACAAGGCCGACTTCTAAGTTAACGGGTTTTTGCTCAAGTTTTTAGGAGCATGAACATGGCATGCTGGTTCTCCAAAATATTTTCATTGCACATGATACATGCTGCTTTTTAATGCCATTTTTGATATAAAATAGCTTTTTTTACAGAAGTTCAAAGATAGTTTTCTGCTAAAAACTAAGTAAACTCAATGCTCTCTAACTGTATTTACTTGACCATTGCTCCTATAGCTTATTAAGCACAACTATTATGTAGATTTTTTAAGAGCATTTACAAAGTTTGTCTCTTAATAAGAAGCTGTGCTGCCACCATTTTACAAAAAGCAAGTTTAACACTTTGACACGTTAAATATTTCAGCGTTAACAACAGTTATTTATCAGCGCCAATTATTGACAAGTGTTGATAAGAGTGCTGTTTGTCCAATTTGCTCTAGGATGAGTGTGTTACATTAGCTCTGATGGGTTTGAACCTGCATAAACTCTGACAGAGGAACTCCTCCAGATGTAGTAAATAATTTAAAATAATGTTGCTGTGTAAAACCTAAAAGAAAAAAAAGAGGAACGCTTTGTTTCAAAGTACCGTTGGGGTTCCACTGATCCTCTCCGCCCAGCAGCAGCAGGAAGTTTTCCACCTCCACCACGCAGTGATGAGCGCTGTTGTAAGGCATTACTGAAAGAAAGAAAAGATAATAAAAAGTTTRTTATAAATCGTGTGGATGAAGCAAGAAAAGCACCACCATGTGGTGGCTCCTCCTCCTTTGGCTGACTCACCAATATTGTTTTTTAYAATTCATAATCAAACAAAGAACTCCAGGATTGGCAGCTAGAGTTTATTTTACAATCAGAACTCAGACAGTCTGGCAATCTGGATCACTCTCTCCGAGCAGCATCATAATCCTTATATTTCTCTAGTTGTGTCTAAAACAAACATATAACAACAAATTACTGAACAGGCATTAGCGTCACAGATGAACATGTTATCATACCAAGCTCCAAGTAATGTTCTGAGTCATAATGGCAAAACCACTGATAATCACGATACGTCTGTTACATTTGCAATTTTCTGCCTCAGCAGGCCAAATTTAGCCTTTTCAAGATTTTTTATTCCATTTTTATCCATTGTGTGCTTCAACTAATGCCCACAATGTAACAGTGTCCATATTTTCTGTTACAATATGATGTATCTGATGATAAACTGTGCATTCCATGAATTCAACTAGAGTTTATTGTGTGTTAGTGTAGTTTAAAAATCAAACGTCCACAGGCAGAGGGGGGCAGGAGCCATCAGGGAGGATATCCTCCATGTATGTTTTTTGTGATCTCCTTCATCATCTTCTGCTGAAGTGACCCCATTGAGATGTAGAGAAATGGTCTTAGGTGACAGTCATAATGAACATGATCGTGTTCACTCAATAAATCTCAGGCCCGGTGCTTTCTGAACACAAATCAGTGAAATGTTAAAGCCCACCTGTCTGTCTCCATCAGTCATTTCCACTGTCACCTCCCCACCGCCTGATGGATCACAGTTGCCGCAAAATTAGACAGCCTTGAATCTCATTTCTTTCCAATTGGCCTCTCCGTGCAATCTCACTCAAGCTGGCTGACATGTGCCGCCTCTCGACGGGAGGGGGAAAGTCTCAGATAGGAACTAATACTACAGACACTAAACACAGATTTATCTCAAACGAGGGGATTAGGTTGCCTGCCTTCAGTGCACCTCAAAAGGCGAGTGCCATACAACTGCCAAATTCCCTTACATGCTATTTACATTATCATTCAGTCACAGCATATAGGACACGGATGGATGGCTTTTTATTTGGTGTCTAGTGACTTGTACTCATACTAAAAAACATCTTGTACTGATGTGAGAAGAAGATTATTGGTTTACTGTATGCTATAGAGCCATAGTATCTGAGGTACTCTGAGGCGATTTGAAAAATATGAGCCTCTGGTGAGCAGCTGAATAATACGAGATTATGATATAATGAAAGAGTCCTTGTGCAGTGAAAAGAAGAAAAAGCATATMAATCATGTTTCTCTTCTCCAGTGAAATATTACCTGAGGAAATGGTTTAAATTTATCTGCCTTTTTGTCCCCCTCTCAAATAAATCCTGTGCTAACCCCTGGGGGGGTCAGCAGAKGCAGGAGGGCAGGGTGAGCACGTCCTCTATGAGGTGGACTCGATCACTCCAGTCTACAGTGAGCTCTAGGGCTCACTAGAGGGAGTCAGAAGCCTCTGCATTGAAGCGACAGCAGAGCTCGGTTGGATGACTTCACAGCTAATGCACCACTGCTACTGGAGCTCTTATGTGCCTTTAACGGCAACAGAACTGCATCCCACCAGATACTGTATTATTAATTTGTTCCAGGCCAGGCTACAATACCACGTGATACATATCTGAGTTTTTAATAACAAGTTGCTTTAGAAAAAAAAGGAGAAAAGAAATGGTCAAGGATTGCAGCTGAAAAATCGGCCTGCCTTTGTTTTGTGTTTGGCCACGCTGCTGTGGGTACACTAGATGGCAAACTTTACACTGGAATCAACGAGCAGCGGGTCTGTCTGACACAACGAGAGGAATCAGATTCTGCCCAAATTGTGTTGATGAATGTCTTAATCAAAGGCTGTCCCTCTCAGGTTTCGCCTCATTGAAAAGTTATGATTGAATGTTAATAATCTTCTATTCCACATCCATTGTGAGGAGGGCTACATCAGATGTTCACCGATGTGTTAAGGGGATGATTTTGCAGTTTTGTCCTTCCACTTGTCCACGGACCATTTGAGTGTTAACTTTTTTTTTTAGTTTTGAGCGATGGGAATCCCTATTGACCTTTCGCTTGTTGCAGTTTTATGCCCATGAGTGTGAGTTTAATGAGAAAATGACGAGGAGGCAAACACCAGCGAGCTTTAGGCTGTTATGTATRCAAAGCGAAAATGAACCTTGAAAAAAAAAATCTGAGCTTAAATACCAGATGGCTGGCAAGAAATAGTATTATTTGAGCAGAGGAAAAAAAACATGTTCAGGACTGCAGGTGATGTTCATTCAAAATCATGATTCATACGAATTTGAGCCACAAAATGAAGCTATAATCTGCTCAGGGCCGAGGTGACAGAGCGCAGAACTATGGCTGATATGTATGAATGGAGAAAAGCAGCTGAGATATGACTCCATGAAAAACAAAGGACAAGAACTCAATATGTCCAGCAACAATGATGCAAAGGAGAAATGTGTTTTCCCAATAGCTTCGTTCTGACCTTTGCAATATCGCAACAATATAGTGGTGAGCCTTAAAAGGTCAGGGAAGACAGGGAGAGAAGGAAGGAAAGTGCACTTTATTGAGGTGAAAGCGGTATGAATGCTTTTTTTTCTTTACAAAAGGTCTCATATGTTCTGTACAGACAAACTAAATTTGTACAATAAYTTAACCCCATTAGTGTTAAAGATGCAGCTTCTCATAACTTTTCTATTTCCTTCTTTGTTAATCAGTTTGTGAATTGATGAATTAAAACTTCATTTGCATAGCACTTTTCACAGCCAATGGCAACCAAAGTGCTGCACAACAGAATAAAAATACAATCAGATAAAATCAAGTAAATACTAAGTAGAAACGAATACATGTTTAAAAAGAAAAAAAAGTTCAACATGAATTCATTCATCATGAATGTTCCAATAAAAGCTTTTTACAGTTGAACTCATCCTCAGAGTGACACCGAGTCAACAGGTTCATGTTAGCCTGAGTAAATTTAAGTATTGATTAACGTCAGGGAATGACCGTTAAAATCTATTGAAGGCAGATGTTTTTACTCATTGTTCCATCTTCGCCTCTYATAGTTCATGTGATTCGGGTAAATCTCGTTGTGCATCCTGCCAGCATATTTCAGCAAAAACAAGAGAAACCGGGCATGAAGCCGTACACCGCTGTGAAGTCACGCTCTGATTAAAAGCTTATATTAAAAGTGATAGTGATACATTATTACCTGAAGGATTTAGGGAACTCTGTACCCCTCATTTTCTGTGGAAATTAACCCGTGTTAAAGTCATCCATACGAACAACCATTTCTCGTCATAACAGCACGCTACAACAAGACGCCTCGGGTACGAAAAAAAAAAGAAGAAGAAGAAGAAGAAGCAAAGCCTTTTGCAACTCACTTGTGAGGATCTTCCACGTCTTTTTTTCATCATCGTAGTATTGGACCAAATTGCTGGGAAGACGATCAGGTCCAGGAGGCAAACCCCCCACCAGAAGCAACATTCTCTTATTGGAGCGGATCCTGTAATTTCAAAAGTAAGGCTAATATATACACATCAAGACTTAATCATCAAACATATTCTGTTCCCATCATCAGCATTTCATGTTTAACTTGGCCGAAGCTCATTATATGAAAGAGTTAATCAGAAATAAAGAACAAAAAGCATGACTGAAACAATATCCTCTCTCTGTCCAGGTGCACCAGCTAAACTCGAGGCTACTTATTAGACAATACACTGCCACATTCATTACAATTAACAAAATTTGCTCAATAGTGCATGTTTCCTTGTGATGTATTATTGAATGGTTATTGCACTCTAAAGATATCTTTTCAATTAGCTGTGAAGCGTAGATGGTCCTGCAGGGTGCCATGCTGGAGGCTAAAAGCACAGCGGAGTCCATAAACCTGCCCATACAACGTCTCCATTTCATTGGCTACACTGATTCATGTGACTCCCTGAACCAGTGCTGAAATGTTTCCTGCTTTTTGTAAATAGAGCAGGTCTTCAAAACTGCACAAATTACTGTAACATAATGACTATTATAAGAATCAGTAGGATTTAAACACAATCACTTTATGCTAGAAATATTAAGATTAAATGATCTTTAAGTTTAGATACATTCTGTTTCTGCTTTACTTCTTCATGCTTGGGTAAATCCCTGTTGTCCCTGCACATGCTCTGAGATATGAGCCCATTCAGACGTATTTTGAGGTTATTCTGATGCAAATGAGACCTTGGACATAAATAATGGTGATTAATTGAGAGCAGAGAAACAGCAGCATATTAGACTAATTATGAGGATTCCTGGATTGCAGCTAATTTAGGTACATACGTGGGAATGGATTCATTATTCGGATAAGACGTTATGAGTTTCTGTTCAGAATCTTGCAACAGAAATGTACAAAGTTTAAGTTCTCTACTGGCAATGCTCTTACAGTTACGAAGCACTAAAAATAATTCTACTTATTTTCTTAATTGTTTGGACAGAAGTTCCATGAGCAACATCAACTTCTTTAAGAATGCAGCTTCTTAAAGTTCAGATCAGGACAAAAATGGATGTAAGACCAGCAGCTTGGACAGCAGTGGGATAGGGGGAAAAAAAAGAATTGTAACAGCTCCTCAAATGCTCTAACGTCATACGTGCAAATTTTCTTTCATTACATTTTTTCCCTCCTTGCAATACCAGTAACAAGGGACCCTTTTGCTTGGATCATAAATTTTATGCAATTACCATGTAATTACCATGGCAACTATTTTCATTTCAACATTTCAAACTGCACTGAGAGTTTCTACAAATGAAATGCAAAGAAAAAAATATTTAGATTGTTGCATCTTGTTCAAACTGATTAGAGAGCAATTATGAATAGTTTTTTTCCCTCCTTTGAAAAGACATGTGACAGCATTATTAGGGATAAAAAAAGAAGGATCAGCTGTCAGTGTGTTTTACAGRAAACGCCCCACAGTCACCATATTCTGACCCCTCATGTAGTTCAATTAGCTGAAATAATTTGATTACATTTCATCACTTTAACTGTTATTAGTGAGGTGTTTGGGTGAATTTATTTCTGCCTGCTTCAGTTATTGAACTTCCTTCAGTTTATCTGCCTCCCCCTCACCTGCTGGCCGTAGTCTGTCTGCAGTGCTGCCTGAAGGGCATCAGGTGGTAGTTCATGGCATCCAGGAGCAGCTTCTGGCACACAGGGTCACTCCTCATGAAGTCAACAGACTGCACCCTCTCCACCAGCTCGGGAGCAGGTATGAGGGCAAAGCGTAGCCTCTTCATCAGGTCCGGGGCGTAGTGCATGCGAGTCTCCCGGTCATGCTCCAGCCAGAGGACTGACATCTGGAACAGAGCCAGCTCGGACTCCACCGGGGGCGGCAGAGCGTCCAGCATGGCGCACATCTCCTCAAAGTTCAACAGCAGCACATCCTCCACCAGGTACTTGTTGGCCAGCTTCTTGGTCTCGTCCAGTCCGTGCAGTGCCGCGATCTTACAGATCTGCTTGTAGTTCTGCACAGAGATCTGGTCGTTGAGGAACTGCACGCTCAGCTTGGTGATCTGGGGGATGTTGAGGATCTTGCTGACTGAAAGCACCTCTTCCACTGTGTCCAGGGAGAGTGTGACATTGGCAGTGTACAGGTACTCCAGCACTGATCGCAGTCCAATTGAGGAGCAGCCCTGAAGCACAAGGTTGTTGATAGGCCTGGTGCTGGGGGTCACCAGCTTGTCATCAGGAGAAGATGAGGGGGTCCCGCTGCTGCCCTGGTCCCCCTTGCTTCCCTCGTTGTTGATGGCATTATGGGAGGAGAAGAGAGATCTGAAATACTGAGAGCAGGATGCCAGCACAGCTTTGTGGCAGTGGAACTGCTGTCCCTGGGCAGTGAGAGTCACGTCGCAGAACAGCTGTTTTCTCCATAACAGGTTGAGCCCATGCAGCAAGGTGTCACTGTGCGTTGGGTCAAAGGTGGATGTTCTATCACCCGATCTGGACATGACTTCCTGACTGCGAACGCCACCTAGGCAACAAAAAAACCACCATGTGAGCCATTCAGGACTGATTTCTCAGTAAGTTACAGAACAGATCGCCCGTCCGTCTRGCGGCAGGCTTCCAACTTTGACGAGCTCTGGTCGTAAAGCAGCAAACAAAAACGCTGGAGCTCCCTGCCGCTCGTTTTCTCTTAACTGGAGAAGGTTTTAGAACAAAACCAAAAAACAAAATAATTATAATAATTCAGGAGGCTGGGGGGTTTGAAGGGCGCTGCCGACACGGATCCGGAGACGCTGCGGCGCTGCGCTCTCGCCTGACGCGGCTCAAGTTGTCGGTTACGCGGGGAGGAGAAACAAGAAGCCAGGCGCCACGGTGGACGGACAGCATGCAGCATTCAGCAAACACCTCTCCTCTCTCCTCCTGTCCTCCTGAGGACATTACACGCGTTCACGGAGTCATACAAAAGCAATCAGTTCGTCTCCGAGCCGTCAGGGCGCGTAAAACGGACGTGAGTATGAGAGAAAATCCAGTGAAATGCAGCTTTCGGGAAAAGTTAATTACAAAAAAACACGCGCAGATTTTGTTTGTTAGGCTTTTTTAAATATCTGTTTGCGGATTTAAACTTGACACGAGCGGCGAAATGCCTCCTAGATTCTCCAAAAGCGCCTCCTGTCTCAACGGAAAGATGGTGAGCAGCTTTTGGCTCAGAGAAGGATCCAAACTTACCTGACTTCAGCTCTTCACACACACACAAAAAAAGAAAAGAAAGTAATCTTCAGAGAGGGGGGGTCCCAATATCTCCTGAATATTCCTTTGTTCTTCTTTTTAAAAAGACTGTTTTGCCTTCCCTTTGTGGCGTCTCAAAAGAACCATTGATTCCAACTCTGAAAAGTCACTATTTTCGGGTTATTTGTTGACGTTAGATCATTTGTTCTTCTGAATTAACAAGAAGTGTGTGAGTGTGTGAGAGGGAGCTGTGCTTTCTGCAAGAGAAGAAGAAGAAGAAATATACGTGTGACAAATTATGCTACCAAGAAACAACACATCATTATCCTTGGGCCTGGGGCTCAGTGAGTCGTAACGAGAGTAATAGGAAATCCACGGTTGGGGAGAGAAACGGTCGTGCATGGCCGGTGGAGAGAGACCATGCAGGGGTATGGATGCTGGAGAGACTCGCAAAATTATGGCTCAAGGCTATTGTAAAAACTGTCGAGCGTAAATGACTGCGATTTCAAACATCTTTGGAAGAAAGAGAARAAGAAAGGGGGGAGAAGAAGGAGGAAGAAGGGGGAAAAAAGCCGAGTCTTTCCTCTCGCTGTTATAGAGAGAACCGTCAAGTTTTAGTGCGCATTGCTAATTAGTCAATTTCTCTCTGCCTTCACAGCCCGACGACTTTGCTGCTGAGCTGAAACTGCTAATTTCTGGGACCAGCCTTTTTTTGGCTGTGAACTGGATGGATGAATGGCTTGTCTCGCACAAATGACAAAAAGCCCCTGCCTTAATCTCCATCGCCAAAATAACCCCCCTCATCTGAGTCTGCTCCCACTAGTCCTTCAAACAGAAGGTGTTTTTGCACAAACTCAACTTTTGCATCCGAATCATGAACAATAAACATGAACAGACATTTCCATCAAGACAATTTAAAAGCATTAAAGTCTTCTTTTCATTATGTGGTGAGGGCATTCCACATGGCAACACACACCTTCAAAGTGATGTTAAAGTTGAGGGGGGGGGTTTTTTTTTGTTAACCTGAAACCCAGCTGCAGGCCTTAAAAACACAAAGGGTTTGAAAATTAATCCAGAATTCATTAGTGARCAGGTTATATTCAAAGACTGCACATTTTCATCTCCAGAAATGCACCCAATCTATAAAATCAAACCTAATGCTTAAAGAAAATAAAGATATTTTATAAAGAAATGTGTGTGCTTAGTGCTTTGTATTGAGGACAACTCTCAGCTACTACCAAACCCAAATTTCATCTGATATCTATAAAATTGTCAGAGTTTTAGCTCTATTTGTGATGTGTAATGTTGATTAGCTGTAGCAGCCATCGTTTATTGGGTTGACTCCAAAAGTTAATCAGTTGTAGATGTACATGCAGCAATTACTTTGTGAAAGTTTAACTAAAATCCATCCCGTAGTTTATGATATATTTTGCTAACAGACAAGTAGAGTTCTAACAGTTTATGCCAATTTTTTAAAAACAGATCGAGTCATCAGTTAGTGCTTAGAGGATGTGTTGAGAACCACTCTGAGCTACTACCACACCAAATTTAAGATTTATATACAGACTGGCTGATTTATAGGCGATTTAACAGTTTTAAGTTTGCTGAAGTTGTTTGGTGTGGCGGCCATTTTGGATGGGTTTGACTCCCAAAGTTAACCAGCTGTAGACGTGTTGTGATTACTTCCTGAGAGTTTCATTAAAATCTGTCCACAGATTCGTAGTCAGTGAGTCCTGTCTGTCACTACAACAAACTGTTGTAAGAAGGTTAGGTTTCAGGCAGCCAAGAGAAGCATCTATTATTTTGAGATCTTGATCTGTAAAGCACAAAAAGCCATGTAATCTTAAAAACAACAACAACAACAACAACAACAAAAATCAGGACTCCTTTAAACTCATATACACCAAAAAAGCAGGAGTTACTTATTAGGACCGTAAACTGTCAATTAAACCTAGAGCTCAATTAGAGTAAATAAACTTACATGCAGGATTCCCATGGGAGCAGAAGTGACAGTTGCCTCACAAGTTGTGGAAATGACAAGATAGGGATAAATGGCTTTGTTCATGTGCTATGAAAAATCGCAACTCCGTGATACCGTCAAGCAATAACAGGCCACATATAAAGGTAGTTTTTTTATTATAATAAATGGAACTATAGCATTGTTTGATGTTTGACAAGCCCACACAGCCAGCGTACCCCACCCCCCCACCACTTTAGTTTCATCCTAGTTGAACTCTTGTGTGATGACTGATTAGATTGTGCTCTGCATCTCAAAGAATCATCATCATCACTGAAGGGAAAACTCTAGTATTGTACTATTAATTAGAGCCTTAAAGCCACAATGGAATCAGTTTGCATTGTCCCCCCCCCCCCCCCCCCAACTTTCAGAGGTCTTGTCACTACAGAATTACAGTAATTCACCGTACTTCACTTTGCAGCCACATACTGTTATCTTTACCGGCTCTCCGTTAGCACTACATTACCCAAGTCTCGAGCGAGCCATTCTAACGCAATAAAATGACCATTTCCAACTCTTTCAGCTCTTTGTAGCAACTCAGTCTCCTGAGGCCACTGGTCTTCAGATTGCAGGGCGTTTATGGTTGTAAGTTGTTGCAGTGTGCGGGAAGGGGGGAGGGGGGGTCATCAGATAAGAGAGGAATTTCTAGACTAATTAAACCCTTTGAGAATCACACTACAGTGATTTACAACTCTCTGTACCAGTTAACCCGACTCATTTTTATCTGTCATATTACTCAGATACCGTATCTACCTCTGTGGGTAAAATGACTTTTTTTTTTGTCTTAAAAATTGGAAAAACAAAAAGGTAGAGATAATGTCAAACAATAAACAAGCTTCAAAAACATGTCAATCACTCATATTTGTTTAAAGTTTAAGGGTATTTACTGTGTTCAGTAAAATAAGATTTTTTTAAACCATTTTCTGCTGTGAAATGCATAAAAACTAAAAGGTTACGACAGAGATAAAAAAAAAGATCAGTATTATCGTGTTTTGGGGGTATCTGAATGAAGAGCAAGCATTTCATCTAATCAGTGCAGTGAAATAAAACAAAAGGAGAAGCTTCCAAGTTGTGAAAAGAAAAGTCTACCAGGCATAATTCCTTTTGCTGGCTCTTGCAGAGGGGGYATGCTAAGATAGAAAGTATTATTTTCCTAAATGGAAGGTGTCAGATGGTCACGGAAATGTGATCGGCTGTTCAAGATCACTGCTTCCCATCTGCAATTTGTGACGTGTGAAAGATTCAGCCCAAATGTGCTCACCAAGCGTAAATCCTCAGCACTTTCTCTTATCGTGGAAAAGCAAGATAACCAGCTGTTTACAGATCAGAGAACATATCATATTAATATCATGGAAGCGGGGCGATATCATCTTGTTTGTAAAATATTTTGTTAACTAAGTGTGGTGTGGTATGGCAACCTATAAAGTCAAAGTTGTAATTTGTGTTTTAGTGAAAAGTGTTTTATTTAGGGTATTTTTTTTTCTTTCTTCTGGAAAAAAAAATGTTAACATGTTGAAATGCTGCAGAGAGCCTCTTGGGAAATATTTGATTTGAACCAGCATGTAATATACTATATGTATATTTACTTTAATCTAAAAGCAGATTTAAATATAATAAAAAGGTTATTTTTGAACGTTCCACAAACACTTTCCTTCTTGTATTTGTTCTGATTAGAGAAAATTGTGTAGGCATATTTTTACTTTAGTAGGACTTTTAAAGCAGTGGTTTAATATCATGTGGTATTTTAATTTGAAATCTTGTTTTGAGTCTAAATTGAAATGTTTTTGCCAACTGTTACATTATCATAAAAGGTCTTTSAGGAAACAAATTGGTCAATTTTAAGCACTTTTGTCATCTTTATTTAACAAATTCAAATACCTTAATAAATATTCAATAAAGCTACTGGCTTCAGTGTCAATGTATCACAATCACCTTCAGTGTTGCGATATTGACACAGATTAGCTTGTGCTTGTCATTTCCAGTCAAACTTTGCCATAAATGATTTAAAAAAAACAGCCATTGTGTAATAAAGTGGAAGCACTTATATTTGCCATTCAGGGAGTATGGGAGGCCTGCTGTTATAAACCCCTAGATCCCCCACACATGGCGTAGCCACCGCAGACACGGCTCAGAGAGCCAGCCGGCAGCCGGGAGGTGAGCAGAAAGGAACAGGCGGTGTCCCCTCCAGAGTGAGCACAGGAGTGTGTGCATGTGTGTGTGTGGCATTCTCAAATGACAAAAGGATACCAGTTGTGCAGTTCACCTGGGAGGACACACGGAGGTGGTATGGGGACTCACCTGAGGGAGAGTCTCGGCTGCGATGGGGGACTGGGGCTGCAGGAGATGCGGCTGAAGTTTTGGAGGGCACACAGGAGGCCACCGTGCCGTGCTGTAGGTTTGTAGGCTTGAGGGAGAAGAGGGGGGGCTGCTGTTGCGCAGTCTCCCCAGCGTGATGCATCTACCTTCAGGGTGGCAGCAGGCGTGGAGTGGGGTGCGATGGAGCGAGCACGGGCTCAGTGGCGCGGTCACCAAGGGACGCTGAAGCTGCTGTAGCAGGACTGATAGTTATTCCTTGGGAGAATTGCAAGATGAGCCCCATTGTATTAGCAAACCCCACTCTACTAAAAGTACTATCTGTGTTCTCAAGCCCTTTAAAAACTCAAAGCAACATTTTTCACTGGGATGCTGCAAAAATACCAACATGCAGGTTTTACTGCGAACCAGAATGAATGTTACCATCAAGAGTTAAACTTCAGTAAATTCCTTCTTGTCAGCGAGAAGCCAGAAAATCATTTCATACCGATTTGAAATTCTCAGACATTAAGCTTTTTTAATTTCTGAGCTGCACTTTTTGTGTTGCAACTGTTTGAGTCGTATCTTTTCGAAAATTCTGTGTCTAATATGGTCAGCACTCCCAATTATTCACTCCACTGACAAGTGAAACAAATGGGACCAACCAGTGCATTCTGTATTATCTACACCCCTTGGATTCCCTGACAATAATTAATACAATAGCAGGCTGCTGTTACCAGCCTTGACGACACCAGCTCAACAACATAAGCTCTCCCTTTTCCAAGAGCTCTTGAGAGGAAAATACATTCGGCAATGGGGTTCTGTTTGTCTGTGGTCACCAGCAGCCAGGTTGTGTCATTCTGCTGTCTGGAAGCCCAGATCAGGTAAAGATCCTGTTGTGTGGAGCAGTTAACATCACAAGGTCATTACTCACATCATTACACCATGGATGTAAGGTGCAAGGTATATGTCAAGAATATATGAATGTAGCCCTTACCTCTGAGATATACACATCCTTTAACAGCAAAGGCTGCCTCATATATCAAGGAAGTTCATTAACATGCCACGATTTTACTGATGCAGCGGTGCTGACCACCTCACTGGTACTGTATGGTCACACACCATTATGTAGTCTTACTTCATTTGCTCAAAGTACGAATAAACTGGGGAAAAAATTGCTAATATATCATGTAAGTATTGTGTAAACTAGAAAACAAGTTTCTGAATAACACTAAAATATAACATATTAGCCAATATTTCCAGTACAAGCTGTCATACTAACCCTTCTTTATTCTATAAAGGATATTAAAGGGCTTTTTTTTAATTATAGGGGAGCACATTCCCACAACATCCATTAAAGGAATGCCTTGCTAATTTTAAACCCTCGCAGCAGGCATTGGCATCAACAGAAGAAGAGTGGATGAGTTTCTCTTTAACAGCTGTAATTTGTGTTTTCCAATCACCATGCTGATTTCTGCTCATTATACTCTGGTTTCACACCGGTAAGTGAGCAAAGTTTGGATTGATTGACTCTAATTAACTAAAAAATGTTCCAAGCCACAGATTTATTATCATGCTAGCTAGCCACAAATGTCAGAGACTTTCACAAATTATTATCCTCTTAAGATAAATATCTTGGAAATCAAACGGGTGTGGAAACATGGGGACCACGTATTGTTGTGCCGATGAATTTGTTTGTCATGTTTGCTGCTGAGCTCAACCTGAAAGACTTCACCTGGGCAAACAACCAGTTCCAGAGGATTGTTAAAGTGTGCAGTGTGACTGAATGACAGATACTGGAGTTTGGTAAAGTTTGTGAAAATACGCTTCACAAATCCCACTTTGCTACAGAAATATACTGTACTAAYGCAGGCAGTAGGAATGTTCAAGTGATTTTTTTTTTCAAACTTAAACAAAAGCTGTGTCCAAAATGGCACACATGTTAAATAGAAACCCTACTCCCCTTTGTGTGCTCCAAAACTTGGCAGTATCTCCCTCATTGATATTTTAGACACAAAAGCTCCTCTCTCAACTCAAATTCTTTCCTTGACTCCATCGGCTCCATGGTTCAACTCTGCACTTTCTCATGAAGAAAAGCCAGGAGGGTTTGAGAGGACACCTCCATTTCCCCAGTTTTAAAACCGAATTTTTGTTTAGCTAGAGAAGACGGAACGTTGCTCTGATTCGCCCGGCTTCACTTCAGTGATCAAAAGCGATTACTGAGGTGAATCCACATGAAACGGACCCATCGTCTGCATGGTGGCGCCAGGCTGAAATTGAGAATCATCCTGCCAGTAAATCAGATTTTCACAACATGTCTCTTGCAAAATAAGCCTTTTATACAAAGTTACAAAAATCTCCTATCTCGGCTTTGATCTTTGCAGAGTGCAAAGGCAAGGCGAGGATTTTGCTGTAAATTTTATCCCCAACATACTGAAACAAGYATCAAATATGGAAGAAAATACATCTCAGCTGTCAAGCGCTCCTCATTAGTACTTCCACAGTCAGTCCTGTTTAGAGTAGCAGCATTTAGGTGTGTGCACTTTGAGGCATGCCTGCAGATAAATGTGATGACATCCAGTTGTGGCTCACTTTCATTTATTTAGGGGATTGATTAGACGCATGGTGAGCAGATAAATGGGTTGCAGATGCACTTTCATTTAAGATATTGCAATAAAGTCAGTAGAGGATATGAGGAATAGGTGATGGACCGAACATTTTTCTTTTAAAGGTGGTTTTGGGGATCTGCAAGCAGTCCACAACATTAGTATTAAAATGCTAAATGTGTTACATACAATAGTATGTTTAAGTTAAAGAAGTATGCAGAAAAAAATAACTTTTTAAAAACTAAATTTTTATGCAAACTTAGGACTGAATTTTTTTTCTTCAATACAGGTGTTTATTTTCTCTATCATCAAAWAATATTGAATCTTCATTTTAAAATTAATACTATGGTAAATTTTATCATRAACTAGATAATGTAGCAGTCTCTTTTCTTTTTAATGCTGTTGTGTACATACTGCCCCCTTCTGTCCCCATAAGTTGAGGAAGACATCAGGTAAAACAAAACCAAAGAAGTAGCATCTTTATTGACTCAGATAAAAACAGAGGATGACAAACAGAAYTAAACTCTGTCATTACAATAATTAAATAGTGGTGCCAATAAAAATGCAAAAAACAAATATGCACTTTTTCATTAAAAATACAACATTTACATACTGTTTGTATATGTACACTTAGATGTATAATAAATAGTAGATGTGCTACTGTTTGCATTATTTGATCATCGATGCTTTATGTAATTTTTAAGCCCATATGGAGCAGACAATGGATTCTGTATCATTGGTATGACACTGTTTAAATACTATGAAACAACAAAAAAAATCAATTTTCTACAAGAAGTAAATGTGATTCGGTTAAGATTCTAAATTGAAAACAGAGTTTCCCCAGGGTTCTTTAGAAAACCAGTGGATAGTGCGCACACAACATCCTTTTGTGCACACTATTTACCCCTGGATTGCTCCAGGCTAATGTCTCAATAATTTTCACTCCTTTCTCAGGTCCTTCCCACAAAGGACTTAACTAATGATCCATGGACAAAATGAAGCATTTAAATTTATTCATTAATCATTCATCTCCAGCTCATTGAAAATGCTAAACTTCCACAAAATTAAGATTGAATATTGAAAAGTGATTGAGGGAGACAGCTTTCAGAGAGCGAAGACGGTGGAAGAGTGAGGGGTGCCATAACAAAAACAGGGCTCTCTCCTAAAACACCGCTCTCCACATGGCCATGGTCAAAGTGACCAAGGTGTACTAAGTGCTAGTTAAGGTCATGGGGTTTCACTAGTTGTAATTAGATCTTGGAATCTGGAGAAGCGTAGAATTTCTGTCAACACTGCCTGTAATTATTCTCTTTTCCAATTAATGGTGACATAGATTAATTATCTGATGAGGCAAAGCCAATTGCAATCATTCACCCAGCTAAAATTAGATCAGTCCTGACAGCAGCATGAAAGTCACCTGTTTCATTGTTATGGATTTGCTGCAAGTAAAAAGAGGGGGGATAGTGAAGCATGCTAGGATAAGTAAGTTGTCTGGTTCAGGTGAATGTCCAATTACACTGCAGTTTGAACTGAAGGCTTCTACCCTTTCAATCCAGTAACATCTGGACAGGCCTGTGTTTTCTCTCCAGTATCATCTGTGGTAGTAGAACCATCACCCAGGGATTCTAGGAATACTGAGAGGAGCTGGACCTCCTCTGACAGCTCATCCTGTTTGAACAAGAGACAAGCAGAGCAAACGAGAACAGGCTTATTTGTATAAAAGTTACAAATACCAAATCTTCATTTTTCTGTCCTTGCGTCCTACACACACACACACAGCTGATGTGTCTGAGTGGGAGAGTACATTTGCCACCTAGTTCTTATTTTTATAGGAAAGCAGAACAACACTCCTGGTGAACTACGTCCAGGTTCAGTGCTCCTCTGTTTTAAAAACCTCAGCATCCAGTTTTTCTATTAAACTGCCTGGCAGAGTCAACCAGCTTGGGAATCTGAACCAGCCTGGCCATGCAGAAATTCTCTGACTAACAATTATATCAGAAACAGGATCTAGGATTACTGTCCCCCGGGACTGGGGCAGTGGGCGTCTGCTCCAATCATTACTGGCCATTCAACAAGGCTCTGCACTGCTCTCTGCTGTTAGCCATTGTCAATTATGCCATCCCTAGTGTAAACGCACAGAACACAAAGCTGAACTGCCAGTTCTGGCAGGAGTGTAACAGGATGACAGCCCACCACCCCTCTGCTGCTACCCCCCACCCTTGGGTTCCCCAGCCCTCCTTCCCTTAAGCTAGTTTTGAGAAAACTGCTGTTTGGCGTCTGTAAGTGCTAACTTGACCTTTCTTGTGTTCTGCTTGTGGGGTTAAGTGGACATGATGGATTAGTATAGGCCTCATCAGGACTCAGCCTGGTTTAACTGCAGTTACAGTTTTATTGAGTTCTTTCTCTCTTTCTTATCAACAGGAAACTAATATTTAGAATCTGTTTCACATAACTGTTCTTAAAGTCTTTGAATTCAGCTTTGCCCCTCTCAAAGCACCCTTTGCATTCACTTCTTACTTCCAAAGGCACAACATCAGTCTTAGGCTTAGTGTCAAAGCCTTAATATTTAGGAAGTTGTGCAGTGTGTGCATTTATGCCTGTTCATAAACTTATAAAGGCTTATTTTATTTATTTTTTTTAATTCAAAGGGTTATTTCTCTGTGTGTATATTTTGGAGGTTAGATCCTGTTTTGCACTCATCTCAAAGAGCCTGTTTAAAGTGAGTGCTGCCTGCTCTGATGGAACCTGTGCTGAGCTGTGACGGGTGACGGTGCGGTGCGCTTGAATACACCAGCTCTTTTGTCCTTCACACTCTGCAGCTCTCTGATAGCTCCTCCCCCTGTGCCCCACTACTCCCTGCCTTGAGCAGTGATCTGCTGGGGCCTTTTGAAGCTGGGCTGCTGAGAAATGGCTGCTCTCTAACGTCTGGACCGAACCCGTCAAAAAAAAAACTTGTCAGCTCTTGGATGAGAGCGATCTGAAGAGAAAACTTCATCGTTAGCTGCATCAAAACAGGGATGCCACGTTTTAATATCTGCGACCTGCAGATTTGGGATGTGACTGTTAAGATAAAGATTAAGTAAAAAGAGGAAATGGTTCAGGATACGGTTGCATGCCACCTGGCTCAGGACATTTCATAAAGATTCATCACTGTCCCTCTGTCCGCTTTGACCTCATCGCACATCACAGCACAGATTAGACACCGATTATCCTCTAATTGAAGAGACTTACTTTTCAACCTTGCAGAATATGCTCCTACTCTTGTGGAAAACAGACAGAAAGTTGTACCCACAAAGAATGATAAGTTTTAAGTCATGGACATCCTCTAATAATAATCAAAAAAATACCACTGAAACAGAATACAGACTCAAACGCATTGTCGCCAGATATGATTTGCGAGATGTGGCAAAGTCACTCCGTGAGCAATCTTTCACACGTATAATCCATCATATTAGTCTGTGATTTGATGAACATATAGACTTTTATGTAGAAGTGGTGTCTTTAACTCCACCACAGCAGTGAGGCGTGACACCATGGTGGAGGTTTGCCTGGCTGCTCTTGCTTGGCAAAGACGACACAAGACAACTGATTAGTTGGATGAGGCTCAAACAATGCCGAGCATAACGTGGAGTTACTGTAGTATGGAAAAGAATATGCTACCATCTGCTAGAATACCTACACTGGGATGAAAGTTGAATAAGGGGATTTGCTTTTTAAATGAATGGTGCGGTTTCCCCAGCTAGTTCTAAATGCATATGTATAAATACCTGGGCTGTTTTTATTTTCTGGGCGGTTTCTTGGGCAAGAGCCTGGCACCGGTCCAGTTCAGCCAGGCTGTAGAGGTTGCGTTGTTCTAAGTATTTTACCAAAGCTTTGTGCATCCTCTTCTGGAACAAAGAGAGCTGGGGGGAGAGAAGGCAGAAAAAAGGAATTGGTAAGGCAGGAGAGGAAATTAATGGCAGTGTTCAAGAAGAATGATGGAGGGGAATAGAGAAAGCAGTCAATAGCCCATTCTGCAGTACACGGGCCTGACAGGAATTTCACAGTCTCTTGGTTTCTCTGCCCACTCGTGTGCACTCATCAGAATCCAGTCACATCTGGCTGCCAGGATGGGGGGTTAATTTTCTCTAAATGCTTCAGCAGTTTTGTTCTAGCCGAGGCAAACTCTGTGACTGCAAAGCTGATGAGTAAAATATTTCTACTTCACCCAGTTTAACTTTATACCAATCCCCTCAAGACATATTTTACACATACACACAAAGTCATGAACCCCCCACAGAAACCAGAAATTATTCCTAGTCTCTTGGAAAGACATGCTGCTTGCTTTATTATTTGAACACAGTTTCAAGCAAAGAGGTTTAAATTCTGATAGATGCCGTTGCTTTTCTTCCCCCTCCATCTCTCCACTCTTCCTACAAAGCTTATCATTGCTTGGCAATGTGTTCCCCAGTGCATTAAAAAACTAAAGCGAATTAGCTCAGTCATCAGCTCCTGAAGGAAAGACAATAACACAAATGGTCTTTATGGTGCACCCTGTTAAAACCTAAGAGCTTCTACATAAACAGAGCAATGTTAACATGTACAGGCTGTTCCAAARGGTTCTAACAAGAGGTAAATACAGACAAATGATATCAGATTTTAATTAAATGTAGATTAAGCATATGTGCTTTGCTTTCTTACAAATAAGGTCTGAGAAATTTGTCTTGGCAATTTTCATTTATTATTTTGAAAACTTTTGATTTATATACATTTAAATTTATTAAAGCATTAAAACAGCTTTTAATAGAAGTGTGTCTAGTTTAATCAATATTCAAAAAAATGAATTTTATTACGTGTCTATGATAAGTATATGATTTAAGATTTTGTTCAGTAAATCAATAGAATGAACAAAGCTAACTTATCTGTAACTGACATGCTCTCTATAAAACTCTTATTGGTTTCGGGTTTTTATGTTGCTGGAGTTACAAATTCTGGGCTCATTATCACAGTTTAATCTGTGCATCTATTGACAACCTTATATCTTTATAATCCATTAACTCTATTCTCAATCCAGGTGCCCATCTCCAGCAGTGACTGGGTGAGAGGCGGGGTACACCCTGGACAGGATGCCAGTCTATCACAGTGAGACAACCATTCATGATCTCACTCACACAGTGACAAATTAAAGTTACCAATTAACCTAACGTGCATATGTTTGGTGGGAGGAAACCATGCAGAAAAGCTGCAGCTGAGTTTCAAACCTGAACCCCTCTTGCTGTGAGGAGACAGCTCCAACCACTGCTCCACCATGCCGCCCTCTTTATTCATTCCAAGTCTTTGAGAATACTACAAACAAAACGTTTTTTGCAATTATCTGGCCTTTTATTCTAACTGCAGGATTATTACCAACACATGGATGTTTAGGTAAAATTTCAAAGATAACTGTGGGTAGAAATACTAATAATTTTATAAAGCGCAGTTCATCAATTATGCTATCTTGTGGATAAATTTTTATAAACTGATAAAAATCTAATGAAATATACACCATGTTCCAAATTACAGTGTATTTTATAAAGGGGGCAAACAGATATTAGCTAAAATGTGCAGCATGCCCACTTTTCTGAATCTGTGGCTGATAACCTTATTGCCACTGTATAAAAACACTGACACTGCTTCACTTTATTAGATTCAAAATCATTTACTTCAGTTTCATAATGTAGCAAATGAATCAGAATATGAATCAAATGCATATCATCATAACATGTAAGGACTCCAAAAGCTTCTAAAAGGTAATTTAATTTACTTATATACTTAGATGACAGATTTAATTGAATAAAACAAAAAAGATTGTTTTTTTTTCCTTTATTTTCCCCCAAAACACATGGCTAGTTTAAGTTTCCTCAGATATATGCATTAAGTTCTAATTTCTCTGATGAGCCTGACAAGGTTGGGTGTATTAACCTAGTTTAAATTTGAAACAAACTGAACTGACTGGACTGTAATATGCAGACATTAAGAAAAAAACTGGATATATAAAAACAGAAAAGAAGTGTATGTGAATGTCTATGAATCAAATCAACATATATGTGTCTCATACACTGTTGATCATAAGCTTGTTATAAAACTAAAATCAGGCAGAAAATGCAAGCCGACAGGCTGCAGTTGTACGAGTGTGGAGTTGAAACAAACAAAAATGGTGAAGGCTGAATCCGGAGTAAAAGAAAATCAGGCTTTGATCATGAGCGTGGAAAATCCTGTCCACAGGATTTTATTTTTGCATGCATTTTTCACTTGATAACATTCATGCAGTTAGATGAGGAATTGCTCAAGTAAAGGTATTAGTCATTTTTGGAACAAATAATATGTGTTTTTCATTGCAGGAACAGTGTGTCTTGTTCCTGGTGTTATGGATGTCGAGTGTAATTCTAGTCCAGTTAAAAAACGTCAAAAACTATGGAGATTAAAAAGTAAAATGCTGCTGAGCTATGTGTCTTAACTATTCAAGTGTAGTTTTGTGTTACATATTTTAGTTCTGATCGCACATTCTCTCTGATTGTAACCTATGTTTTTTGTTCATCTTGTACCAAATGATGCAGTGAGCAGGGGCAAATTTGAAATGCAACAATAATAATGAAATGTTTTACCTTTGACCACCTCATGAAGCTTTAAACAGGAAAAAGCAAAAAGTATTTACCATCAGCTTTTTGCTTTACTACCCCTGGTGGAAACGACACACAGCTATCATTACATTATGTCACATCCATCATCATCCTGCACTCAGATGTCTAATCATCTTTAGATTTCTACAGAGACCTCTTCACTTGGTACAAAATGTTTAAGTTTCTCCATGTAAAGCAAAACATTAAACATCATGATGTGAAATGCTACAATAGCAAAAAAAAAAAAAAAACAAGAGTCAAGAAACAATTAAAGTGGAAAAAGAACAGAGAGAAAATGTGTTTAACCACATCTTTGAACGTACCTTTGTGTAATAATGATATGTTTCATCTGTGCAGTTTTTCTTGGTCAATGCAGACACTGCATCCTCTCTGGCTTCCAGCAGGGTCTTCCTAAGACCTTCGTAGTCGCTTGCTAGCTGTTTATTCTTAGTGAAAGCATTTTTTAATTCTTCCTGTAGATGTCAAGATATTTGTGTTACCTTTCCAAAGTAAGCAACATGTTTACAGTAGATAGAACCTCCAGCTTGCTGAAGACGAGCAGTGCTTAGTAAAATATCAGCTTTAAATTTTTAGTTTATATGCAGTGATCCAGATGACAAAAATTAGCAGTAACTATGAGTGAATAAATGTGCAGTAGGAGACCACAGAAACACAGAAAAGATCTGAACTGTCAACTAAGTCCTACTTAATCTGAATCTGTCAGATTTTGAAAACATTTAATAAGATTTTAAAAATTATACTGCACAGAAATAAAACATTTTTTTTACAAAATAATAACAGAAGGGCTATAGCCATGGGTTTCTTACATCTCAATTGTAATTTTAAAGTTTGATTGGTTTTGTTAATACTGTACCAATTCAGCATGTGTGTAAATCCAATAATCAAACAGCTGAAGAACAGCTGAGTTGGCATGATTTTCAAAACAGATGTAAACTATATTATGAATGATCAAATCGATCAGTGTTTTCAAAACATACAACTAAGCTTTATACAGATATCCTGGGAAATACATTTGACACAGTGGATGAAAATAAATAATTGACATGTAGTTTAAATGACACAAACACCAAAATCAGATTATTATGTTATAAAGCTGACCGGTGTATCTGTGTTACATGCATCTGTGTTTGGGCTTTTCAAAAACGGAAGATGCATAAACAAAAATGGACACTTTTTGGTAAAATCAAGCAAATAAATCACAGTGAGTACGACAGCCTTTTTCATCTGAACGGTGTTTCCTGAGTTCTGGATAAGGGGGATGTGTGAATATCTCAACTGTACCTGCAGACATAATGAAGTGTGTCTCTGCAGTAAAACAGAACAGCACTAAAGTGATGAGTTTAACCCAGCAGAAAGAGGGGCTGTAAACATGACAAATGCCTGCTATTGATTTCAGGTTTAATTACTCCATGCAGCACTGACAAAGCCCATCTGATGCTGTTGTGAAGTGTAAATGGAACAAATTACACTTCATTGCCCATAAGAAACTGATAACGTCGGCAGTTTGCATTGTTTACTTTGTCCTCAACGACAAGGCCTGATCAAATCAAAACATGCTTGAGCACTGAAAAATCCCCCCCTCACATATTCATGGACTAAAAAAGAAAAAAGTGATTTCTAATAAAATAAACTTATTTTACCTGGATATATTTGGTATTTGATTTTGAATATTGAAATACAACCAAAAAATACTCACAAATAAAACTTCCAACAGAAGCTGTGACAGTTTGTGTAAAACAGAGACACTGTGGTCAGCATATTTATTAGATTTTTCATATTTGAAGGTGTCTAATCATTCTGCTTCATGCACTGTGATTTCCGAATGCACACTCTTCTTATTATGTTATGCTAATATAGACATTATGTGTGCTTTATATTGGTCTCAGTGATTAAAGTGACCCATTTCCTTAGAGCCCTAGACTCTCTCTTATACATTTTTTTATTTAGTGAAGAGTATTGTTGTTGTATCATCTTATTTCTTCGAGTGAAAAAGACTAAACTCTTTTTTGCATGACTAACTTTTATCTGGCTAATGGGAGTTGTGTCTATGAGGAAGACTTCTAATTCTTAAATTGTCTCACGCCAACAACTTCTTTAAAGTTGCTGCACTTGGATGCATGGCGGCTTAAGCTCCATTGCCTTTTCTTGTTTTGAACTAATGCATTCTTGATCACCGTTTAATGAAACTATATACCACATGGCGATTTCACATTAGATAAGCCATGTGAAACCCCCATCAGCAAAGAGGCTCTGGCTGGGGCTGATAATCCTGCAGATGAAAACCTTACAATAAATAGGGGTTTCTCCTACAAAAGATTGTTCAAATGCATTGCCTCCTTCTTACAGTGCAGATTCCCGTTTCCAGGAGCGTGTTTCATGATATTAAAAAAAAAAGTCAAGATGATGTGCTTTTTTTAGTAAACTATGCTTACAATAAATTTGCTATTAAAATTGTTGGCCTACAGGTAACAAAAACAGGCACAGCATCTCAGCGCGGCATGCTTCATCAAATTCGTCCAGACAAAAAGACTACAACAGCAGCGAGTTGTCATTTGTGGCAAAAGCACTTAAACGAGATTGACCATGGCTTGTAATTTTAATTGCACGCTGCTTTTTTTCTCCGTATCTTAAGGGACGTATTGTAACAAGCAATGTGCTGACACTAATCCAAAAGCAAATAAACAATGGGATGTTTTTTTCCAGCTCTTCTTTGACTTCAGAATATTTGACTAAAGAAAAAAATGTATGCATTTACAGACTGCTATTGTGACATTTTACCTTTGTGTCTTCCATTTCCTTTTTTCTTGCTTGAAGATGAGCAGTGTGTGACTGTATGAATCGCTGGGTTTGTTGTTGGCAGTTATTAATATCAGACTGGAATGTGCTCATTATTTGAGCAGCTGATTTGTTTTTGCTCTCCAACACATTCAAATCCTTTCTGCAATAAGAGAATTTTATACAGTGTTGCTCAATTATTTTACCTTCTCTTCTTGCTAAATTTAATTCTGATGGATAATGCTAGAGTTTTATAAGAAAAAGATCAGAAAATTCCAGCACTATTCTAAATGCTTCCTGTAACTTACTGAAGTTTGGATATTATTTCCTGAATGTTTTCAACTGTTTTCTCCATCTGATCTGAGGCACCCAGTTTTTTCTTTAGATCAGTGATCCTACACAGAGATCTGCCATATCTCTTTACAATGGAACTGTCTAAATCCTGTAAATAAAGAGAAGCAAAGATGTTCAAATAAAAATGTCTGCAAACCATGTTTTGTTGAAAGAGTTTTGACCAAAAAAACATACAGATTTTACAGAAAATCAACATTAAAACTAGTGAATATTTGTCTGCAGCGAGCTTTAAAAAGTAAACCTGACTAAGCAACTTCAGTGCAACTTTTCCTTCTTACCTGAGCAGCTTTCAGTTGATCGGTTTTCAGCTTTTTCTCCTTTTCCAGGTTGAATAAAGTCACTTTGTGTTCGCTTTCCATCTTTTCTAAATTTTCTGTCAGCTCCTTCATTTTCTATACAAACAAAAATACAAGTTTTCTACTGCATAAATTGAATAATCATTTAGGAAGATAGCACTTATGTGAATAGCCATATTTGGATGTAGAATTATTTTTAGACTTGAATTGTATTTTTTTTTCTTTTAGCCTTATCTGTACCTTCACTTTTGCCTCCAAAGCTTGTGTTAATGAATAAGATTCTTCAAAATCTTTTTGAAGTTGTTTGTTGATTAACTCTGAACTTTCTTGCTGTTTCTTTAGCGCCTCTTCAACAGTTGCACACTGAGCCTGATTGGAAACAAATACAAGAAAGAATATTTTGTTTATGCTTTCACCGAGTTGAGTACTCATGGTTTAAGAAAAAAACAGAATGAATCTAACAAACTGATGAAAATCCAAATACACTTTAAATTAAAAACTTTTGTTTCTGTTTAATTCACATTTTTTTCAAACAATTAAACTTGAGGGTTCTTTCTTCCACATCTGTGAGATGGAGTTCCAGTGTATGCTGCTGATTCACTCGAGTTTACTTTAGTAATTAAACTGCAGTTCACTCTATATTTTTTAAGTCTGAGACAATTAAACCCAGTCAGGGCAAAGAATCTGAAGCACCTCACAAATTTACCTTTATCACTTCCATGGCGGTCAACTGACCAGTCAGCTCCTTCTTCAAAGTTTCTGTTTCTGTCTGCAGAGCATGGAAAGAACACTGAACATCACCAGGAGAAACAAGTGAAACTTTATTTTTTTATGCCATATTCTGTGAAGTACAGACAGAAAACAGACATATGTTGTCTCTGACCCTGGCCCTCTGTTCTTCCATGAAGGTGAGCTGCTCCTGTTCTTCCAGCTTAGCCTTGGTGACACTATGCTGGGATACAGCTTGGGTCACTTCCTTTCTGGCCTTTTCCCACTGCTCGTCATTGTCAGTGATTTTCTGGAGCATCTGCTTCTGCTCCACACGCATCTGCTTCGCTGCCTTCTCACTAACCAATCACACAGTAAAGCATACATATGGTATGAACACACACAAGCGCCTCACTACACAGTGCATGCAGTGGTAGCACTTAATAAGGAATTATACATATTCATACATTAATTTGGCTTTGACACTGTACCTCTCACAGATTTTCTTCTCGCAGTCTTCTACCTTCTGTTTCCACTTCAGGTTGGATTCACAGACAGCTGCAAAAGCTGCACGTTTTGTTTGGAGCTGCGCCTCTATGCAGGAAACGTCTTCTTCCCAAGTAAGTTTCTGTGCATAATATTCAATGTAAAATCAATGTAAATAACAAGGATAAGTTACAGATCCTTGGCAACATAAAAAAAACACTAACAAATTGTATAAATGGTTTCAGTAAAAGTTCAGTTCTTGTATCTGTGTTGGACATTTTACCTAATGAATCCTTAGAACACACATACACCACTAAATAAAAAAAATGTCCACTTACATTTTTTTCAATTGAGATAAGTTTTTCTTTTAGTTTTTCATTTTTTTGCATTTCATCCTCAATTTTAAGAGTCAGTTGGGAAATCTGTAGTAAAAACACAATAACTTGTAATAAAATCTACCTTTAAAAATAAATCAAGAACATATACTTTATGGAAAGTGTATGTTACTTTTTCTTCTTCAGTTTTCTCAAGCTTTGCAATTTCCTGTATTTGCCAAGTTGTGTTTGCGCACTTCTTTTCAGTAGAAGCAATGGTCTCTTCAGCACCGTTTATGTCAGCAAGCAGCTCAATCTCAAGTCTTTTCAACAAGTTTAAATCTTCTCTGGAAGAAAAAAAAGCCCATTTAGGTAATAAATGGGCTCAAACTTATTTTTATTTTAAACAGATTGCAAAATAAACTTCATTATTTATGTATATTAAGTATTAAGGTTCTTGCATTCAAATAGTTTCCAAAGATTGCTTGCAATAATTCTGATAATTAAGGTATGTTTCAGTGTAAAGTGTTTCTTGCTCTACATCAGAATAAGTATTGTGAAATACCTTAGCTTACATTCTGATGCAGTTCAGTTCTAAAACGTCGACTTTGTACAATAAAGACAGGAAATGCTTTACTTGGTTAAATAAAGACAAAAAATTCTGTAAGCAACTTTTACATGATAAAAATATTTAATATATGTTGTAAAAACACATTTAAAGTTTTATTTTTTAAAATAGCATCTAAATTTCAAGCAAAATTCGTTTTATAAAGCACTCAAAGAACTTCACAGAAAGAATAAAACGGCATTTCACTGTTGTTTTTACCTGCCACTTCTAATGTTTAGCTGAAACTGATATAAAAAATATTTCTAAAAAGTTATCTCCACATATCAGTTGTACTTTAAGGTAAGCAGATGAAACCATTTTTCTCATCAAATACTCACAATTTCTCTGCCAGATGATTTCTCATCTCCACCAGTTCATGGTCCAACAATATATTTGTCTTTTTGGCATCAAGCTCCATCTCTTTTAACTTCTCCTGAGCCAGGAAAAGTTCACTTTTTGTTTTTGAGCACACTTCATCAGCCTAAAAACAATGTGGTTTACTGAGATTAATGTCGTCATGCAAAAAAATAGTTTTGGAACATTTCAGAAAAAATAAAAATGTATCGTCTTAGTATTGTTTCAGTAACAACGGTTTGTCTTTGAGCTCTAAGAATTTTGATTATATTACAATAAGTCACATACCAATTGAAAGTTTTTAAATAAGTTTATTGCAAAGGTTTTGTGGTTGAGCTACAATTTAGAAAGGTAGAAAACTAATAATAAAAAATTACTTGTGAATTTAAACAAAAATAATAGAGAATGATGAAAATAAGGCACACTAGTTTAACTGAAGCTCTATAAAATAACAACACTTTTGAAATGTACTAAGAGAATGTGACACAGTGAAACTCACTGACGTTTATTAATCCTTTTTTTAATTAAAAGCAAAGAATTTTAAAATGATTTACTGTAATTTAAACTATAATTGAAACTAAAAAGTTTAACTCCTTATCAAATAATTAAATGTAGTTCGATAATTCTATGATCATTTTGAGAGTTTGAAATGGATATTATGTTAGTAAAATAAATCAAAGATTTACCTCAGCTTTGGCTGCCTGAATCTGGTTTATGAGGCCTCTCTGGATGTCCAGGTTCTCTCTCATGAGGGGAAGTTGTTCTCTGGTGAAGCTGATGTCTTCCTGTAGGTGCTGGTTCAACAACTCAGCATGTGACACTTTCTCCTGGAGCTGGTCACTTTTCTTTTTCTCCCGTTTAAGCTGCCACCTCAACTCTGTGATGTCTCTTCTGCAAGCCTCGTGCTCTAGTCAAAGCAGTAATCAATATTGAATAACAAGTTTATTAACTGGGTTTAGAAACAACTGAATCCTTTTGCTTCACAAGAGACGTATCGATCTCGGAGAATGTGACGCCTCACGGTTACTGACCTTTCTGAACGAGAGCAGGGTGCTCGGTTTGCCTCCACAGTGAAATGCTGTCAACTTTGTTTTCCAAAGTGTGTCTTTTACTTTTCTCGTTCTGCAGAGCCTCCTCGGCGTGCTGTCGATCAGCCTCCAAACGCTCAATCAGATGCATAACCTCACTAAGAACATCATTCACTTTCTTCTGCAGTGGGGATCTTTGACACCTGTCTACAGGATGAAAACACTGGACGACTGGCACACACTTTCAACTCAGCTAACAACACATGAATTCAGTTTTATAAAGCGATTTAGATTAAACTGCAGACAAAACTCAGGCATTGCATCTTAAAATCATAGGTGAATATTCCACAGTCGGAAATTAGTCCAGACATTGAAACCAGTAAGAGTTAAACAGATTTTCATCAAGGTGTGGCTCACTAAACACTGATGCTCTGTTTTTGTTTTGTGAAGCACGATAGCATCGCGTTTACCTCTCACACTAATCGCTATGCCTTCAACATATAAATCCGTGGACATTCCCGAGTCTGAATCTGAGTCTCTGGATTGAAATCTGTAAGAAAAGAAAATTAAAACTAATGCTATAATTTAACCGTAAACAAACAAAACAACTAAAACAAGAAATGAAAATGTGAACATAAATCACCTGAACTTTTTGCTGTAATGCTTGTCCTGATCAACAGCTGAGTGATATTTTCCAAACTGGTGCTAGATAAAGAAAAATATTAATAATCTGGATTTTAAACTGACAAGTTTGGTCACAAGGTGTTGGCTTACCAGTTGACACCTATTTCCCGCCAGCCTCCTCATCTCTTGGATATGATAGAAAGCACTGTTGACACATGTTGAGGGACTGCTGGGCAAACCACAACAGGCTTGAAGGTCTGTTTGATCTTAAAATATATATTAAAATATATCAATCTAACTTTGACTCGTTCAGTTTCTTTATGTTCACAATTAGAAAACAGTATGATAGACATCACTGCAAAACTCAAGTCATAAAGATGATTATTAATAAAAAAAAGATGAGAGCAGAACTTGAAAATAAGGCAGAGGAGAGCAAAGACTCAACGTTTCTAGCAATAGTTTAAAAGGTAATTACTGAAATGTTTGTATTCATGAAAGATTTTCACATTTTTTTTCTGTTTTGTACTTTGATGATGGTGGCACAGCTGCAAAAATAATCCAACAATGAGGGAGGGGAGAAAAAAAATCATTTGAGCATCTGAAAACAAAGCTGAGATTTGTCAGTGGTGAAAGGGCGCCATCTGCCTGAGAAACAGGTGAAAAGCACAAACCTGTGTTTGAGAAAATTGCTAGTTTTCGTTTGTCTTTTCCATTATAAAATTTATTAAGAAGTGTTGGTTAAAAAATTATAGTGCTCATCCCTGTTAAACAATTTTAAAATTCTAATACTAGCCTGATATCAAATCAGTATCACAGAACTTTGAAAAGTTTATGAAACAAGATTTGTTAATCATGTGGAAGGTCTAGAAGATAATTTTATAGTATATTTTGTTTAGAAAACAAAGTTTAACCTCTTCTTCACATGTATCAGAACACTGACAACAAAGGTTGCACTGAAAAATGCTTATGATACTTTAAGAAGCTAACAATGCAGAAAAAAACAGTACTATTAAACCCATTTTGATTTTCAATAAAAAGCAATCATATACTATTATATTCATGTTTGATTAGTTTGTCTATATAATGATGTGTGCACATATTGCCAAGAAAGCAGATGATAATAATACAAGGTCTCGTTTTTGGTCTTTTATGATTTTACTTCAAGGAAATTGGAACAATTTATCACCTAGGTGTATCTTGACTCATTATTGCTTCAATATGTATTTATAAAAATGAACTTTATATGGTCAAGAACCCAAAATGCACAGCCAGACTCACAACGGTTATTTTCAATAAGAACACATAACAGCATTTTATTCCAGCTCACTAAAATTCAGGGTTCACATCAGTCAACGGTTCGATGGAGTGTCCAAACTTTTATGTACAAGAGAAAAGATATTTGTTCAGCCTAAAATTCTCATTAAAACAGGTAAGGTCACTGTGCTTCAACACACTAAACGTATGTGTTTGCTTTTTTTAAATGGAGAAGGGTAATTGTAAAAAGAAGTTTATTTGGGTTTTTTATCAGTTTATGCACAAAGACACACAACTATGGCTGTGCACTCGTCTTTATCGTGCAAATTCAGAGCAGGTTGTGAATTAAAAGGGTCAAGTCTAGTTCCTGCGTAAAGTGCCTCTCCATGTCATCTGAGTATCACACTGAGGTGTCTGGGCTTAAAGTCTTTGATCCAGTGACTTCTGCGACCTTTCCTATTAGGCATTTATTCTGCAATAAAGATCTTTTAATTGGCAGAGTGGCTGATGTGTTAGCTGACTAAGAGCGAAAACAGAGATGGAGGAACTAAAAGGGAAAACAAAAGAAAAAAAAGACGACAACATCTGCTGCTGAGCAGCTTTACTCTGAAAGAATGGAGTGGGGCAGGAAGGTGTTGTGACAGGATGTCAGCGGAGGGCTGAGTTTGCTTCAGATCAAACAGGCAGGATTATTATTAACACATAGCAAGTTTGCTCCAGTCTGAGGTGCCCATCAGCTGCCATAAGACCAGTGTTATTTAAATTATAGGCTTTCATCTCACCAACATCAGTAGCATTACATGTTTATTGAGCTTTGCTCCCGGAAAGACATCTCTTTTGCAGGTGGTGAGGACAGTTTGTTTGTATTCTTATTTGTTTAGTGGTTCAGGTGATATTTTGCTAACACAACCACACTCTTTTACTGCTGATGGATAATCAGCAGGCCTCTCTTATCAACAATAATAACAATAATAATAATAATAATAATAATAATAATAATAAT